GAGGAGGTGGTGGGGTTGGGGGGTGTTCAGGGGGAGGAGAGGAGGAGGGGTGGTGGGGTTGGGGGGTGTTCAGGGGGAAGAGAGGAGGAGGTGGTGGGGGGGTTAGGGGTGTTCAGGGGGAAGAGAGGAGGAGGTGGTGGGGGGGGGTTGAGTCCTCAGGAGTGGTGTCCATTGCTATGGAGCTGCAGCCGTACCTTAAGTCCAGCTCAGCATAAACAGCGTTACGGACTGATTCTTTTTTGAGAGTCGTGATCATGATGGGTCTGGTCTTTCTTCTGACGAAGGGGCCTAATCCCTCATACTCATCAATGTACACTTTTGCAGGGACTTTTCTCCTGGACACGACTATGGGAAGGGTTTTGATATTTGGTTTGACCCGTGTGGTCTTCTCTTTGGTCCTCTCAAGTTTTTTTGATAGCTCGTCTAATTTTTCCAGCTCTTCCTCGATTTCTTTCACCCTGACGGTGTCTCCGCACTGTCTTTTACAGTTCCGTTGATCCAAACACTCTAGTTTCCTCTTGGCAATGTTCAGAGGTGCAACTCTGAATATGTTTTTCCTTGCTACAATATAGTCAATGTCTTTTTCGGTGTAGCTGTGGTTCAGGGCTTCTTTGATTGACTGCTCCTTAACGGCGATTTTGTCCGCAGTTGGGACTTGCATCCCAGCAGTCATCATTGCTCGTCTCCACTGCATGAACTCACTAACTTCAAATTCCTCATTGGAAGCAGACCTGAGAGTCACAGCTTGCTCTTTAGCAGCGTGCCTGACCGTAAACACCAGGTTTGTCTGTGTCGATCCCAGCTGGTAGGTCTGCTTCTTCTCCGCCACAGACACAATTTCGCCAATGCAGTAAAGTGGGTTGCTGCTGCTGTTGTTGACAGCTACTCTGACGAAGCAGCCAGTAATGGTCGTGGCAAAGAAGGGGCAGTGGCACCACTGCTCCAGTCTGTTTCTTGAAAGTTGGATCTTCTTGAGCTTTTCTAGAGAGAGAACCTCTTCACAAGCTTTCTTCATCACAGGCCCATTGTTGTGGTTGACCTGTAATCTTCTTTTGGCGCAAACAATTCTCCTTGACACTGCAGAACCAGCATGAGCATTAGGGAACTTCAGAGAAGTAACGTTGGCTCCATGAGCGGCCTGAAAAAGAAAACATACTTAAAACTCCATTCCAACTTTAACACAGCATATATACACATACTTTCTTCAAAAGATAGATCTCCTGGAAAGATTAACATGTAACCACATCTAATATTCATGCATATCCTATTAAAACCAAAGAGTGACAGAAGTGCTGCAAGTGTTTAACTGTAGTTGTTAGTGACGGCTGGTTGCACCAGCTGATCTTTAACACACTGGTCTTAACTGTGAACTGTGAACAGTTGTTTAGAATAGAATAGAATAGAATGAATGTCATCACACAATGAAGCATGGAGGAATTACAGCTGCTACCACTGAAAGGTGCATTTAGTAAAAAAGAAATAAAATATAACAAGAAAAACATAATATAAATTAAATGTTTACAGGTGCTAAAAACTATACAAAATAGTTTCTATCATCACTGTTAACATCAGCTTATTATCCTCTCATTAACTCGGCCCTGCCCCCCTCATCAACACTAAAATCTGACATCCTGACATCGGAGGAGTTCAATAAGTCCAGGAGAGGGCAGTAATGCAACACCATGCAGGCGAACTAGCGTTAAAGTCCAAAGAAGAAGAAAAGCCGAGTGGAGTAAACCGCAAAGGTGAGACTGACCTGAGATCAGATCTGTGCAGAAGCTCAGCTGTCATATGACATGTTATTTGTGTTGTTAGCATGAATTAGCATGAGCATTAGCTGCGGACACCATGTGTGTTTTTGAAAAATGCTAATTGAGTCGCTAGGTGTTGGGAGTTGTGTTGGCGACGTTTGAATGCGGTTGCTATGGGCAGTTGCTAGCTGCTAATGTAGCGTAGACAAAATAAAACATCAAATAAAAATGTCGTACTTTTTGTGTTTTTGTGGAAAAAACATTGGATTCGTGTGATAAAAGAAACTAGTCGGAGTGTAAACAGAGTGCGACGAGCTGAGGGACGGAGTCCTGGCGCGGAAACACACTTGTTGACACCGGAACTTGTTAGCTATTAGCTGTTAACCCCACAACCTAATGCGCAGCCAAGATGTCGGTATTTTATTTTGTTAACTGTGATAAAAAACATTATCATTCAGTATTTCTACCCAGTTCACAGAGTTTCTGACCTGTTGTAGAAAATGTGAGCTCAACAAACACAAGTGCAACCACAAAAATCACAATTCCCTGTTTGCATTATTGTTTGATCAACTCTTATATAAAGAAATCACATTATATTTGATTTGTAGAAGTACAGTATGTATTATAAATGTTAAATAATCTTACCATGCTTTGTTTTCGATCCATTGCAGTTTGCTTCAGAGTCTTGACAAATGCAGCCGCTTATCTCAGGATCCAGGAAGCAAGTGAGGGTTTTTTTTTTGCCAGAAATGATTATTACTCTAAAAGTTTTGTACCATAACAAGTCATCAAAGCCCCTCAATGTAGGTGTCATCCAATCAGAATGAGTCCTCATCAAGATCAATGGATTCAATGGATAGTCATGTGACCAAATATGGCAAAAACACCGGGATACCAATGGCTTGTAATAATTCCCATATATGATCATTAAAACTAATTGCATATTATTTTCTTTCAATAAATTGTAGTAAAATCTTGACTCAAATATTATTATTAATTTTTGTAATAATATCATAATAACAATGTGCATTTGTATAGCCCTTATATAAGCAAAGTTACAAAGTGCTTCACAAACAAAATAAAATCCATGGCAAGAATAATAATAAATTATATAATAAAAGGTATTCAATTCAGTTAAATAATTTGGGCCACGGAGCAGTTTAACTATATTAATCATTTAAACCAATGATTTGATTGGTTTTATATCAGAAAAAAAAAATTGATAATGTTTTAATCTAGTTTATAACATTCTCTTGTATTGTATTTAAATAACAGAAGCTAGAGTTGCCATAAAACTGTGTTAACTCTGGTGATCCCTTGACCTTTCATCCTGTGCCATCATCATCAGGTTAAATAATTTAGTTTTGTATGTTTAATGGATGTTTACTTCCAGGTGGGTCTTTGAATCTTTTCAAATTGCAGAAACATATTTGAGTTGCACTAAAACTAAAACAGGAAGTGTCTTTCACCTTTTTCCCATGAAAACTTGAACAACAGTTCACTAAACCCTCTCATCACGTCAAGGCCCTTGTAAAAACCCTCAGGTTCTGCATACCTGCTGCTTCGCTGAACACCCGTGCAAACCTATTTGAAAATTCTGCTGTCGCTTGGATACAAGGTTTTAACTGTGTGCATCTACGTTGGCTGTCAGTCTCGATAATGCACATTTGAGTTGGTCCTCTTTGCGCTACAGTAATAAGATGATACGTGCAGAGACACATCTTAGATCTGCGTTGGTATGAGAGGGGGAGAGTGAAGTTATTGGCTGTTCAGAGTTCAAGCCCTGCAGAAGCTCTGTGAATCAATCACACCAAGGAATAATCTGAAATTCAAACTGATTACTATTTATTTGTTTTATTTTTTGATATCATTATGATATAAATGTAATAGTTGAAATATGATCTCATGGGGATACACTGGAGATTATGTATCGTGCACAGCTTGATTAGAGGAATGTGAATCATTAACGGCAAAAAGAAAGCTGCTATGTTTTCATCTCATGTAAAGCAGTTGAGTGAAGGCAGATCTCACTTTGATGTATGATGCTTATGAATTTACAACAGCACATGCTTGCACCGTACACACACACACTCACACACTCACTCACACACACGCTCACACACACATGCACTCTTAGACGTGGGGGTTAGAAAGCTAATGTAAAACATAAGAGCATGAACCATTTCCCTAGATCACAGTTAATGCGTTGAACATGTTGCTCTCTGATGGAAGTTCCTTCATTTCAAATGGGATAATCCTTTACTGCTGCATAATTCCTTTGCCACTGCGTCGTGCACTGATTTAAGTGCTTGATTTACTCTGCTTAGGCATTAATTACACTCACTTAACTGCATGTTGTCGTAGCTCTTTTCTGTTACCTTCAGAGTTTACACCTCCGTGCTCGCTTTTAAATGTCACCTTCTGAGCTCTCTGTGACAAATAATATGCCAGTAAAACGACTGCAGCGTCTCAGCAGGGACTGAATTGTCTCCACTCAGTGCATTATGCCAAGTCAAAAGCTGTAGCTGTAGGCTCATCTCTTTCAAGCTAACTTTAAGTTTCCTCTGTCTGTCGAGGAAGAGACAGAGGAGGATTTTCTGTATCCCAGAGCGTTACTGTAACTCCATTTACTCCCATGGACAGCTAATATTCTGCCTCCATCTAGATTTGCCGTGAAGAAGTGCTGTGTTTTGACCGGTGAGGCTCATCCGTCTTGAAATGTCCCCCCCGTCCTGATGTTATTTCTGAGAAACACTTCCAGAGATCATCTGCGTTCACCTGTCTCCTTCACATCCACAGCTGACAGTGTTTGCTCTGGAGTATCGTTGAAGACAAAGCTAAACTAAAGCACATGGAAACTAAATGCTTTAAAAATATATATAATCACTGTCAAGCAGGAATTCAAACCCCCACATTTATATACATATGATGTGTCTGTCCTTCAAATTGTATGTTATTATACATAGAATATTTTGCGATGTTGTCACGGTGCCCTGGTCAAACGTGAAACACACATAAACAAAACATAAGGGAGGACAGGTGGACACTGTAATTAGACACACTTGGTGTCCATTATTGCAGATTTGACATGGTGGTAGATGCACATACGTAAGTGATTATCCAGACTGTCTCGGTCTTACCTCTGGAGATAATACTTCCAGGGCATCGCAGTATAGGACAGGTGCATATGGCTCACAGGTTTGAATGACTGGCCCAAATGTCTATTGCACCTGTGGAATCCTTTAAGATCTTCCCGAACCTTGTCTGGTTGAATTTACTGAACAGGTCAATGTATTTCCTCTCTTATCATGTGATATTCAAGGTGGAGGGTGGCACAGTGGTGCAGCGGTTAGCACTATCTCCCCGTTACTGCATTTGTAACTGTAGGTGTGAGTCTGGGTGTTTGTCTCTGTTTGTTGGCCCTGTGATTTGCTGGTGACCTGTTCAGGGTGGAACCTGCCTCTCGCTCACTGTCGGCTGTGATTGGCTCCAGCTTCCCCCACCACACTTAAAGGATAAGCAGTATAGATGGATGTTAGAGATTGATTAGTTGTTTTTAACATATTGTGTCTGACAACAGTATGATTTCAATATAGCCCCTGTGAATTTTTGGAGATTTTTCACTTATCCATACTTCTTTGAGCTTTTCGGACATTTCCATATTCACAACATAAGTTTTCCTCATGTTTAAATGTGTGCAGTCTGTAGGAAAACAAGCCTGAAGGTACATTTTCCCCATTAATAAAAAGTATGAGCAATGTCAACAAAGCAGTGGCATGCATCCAGCTCAGCCTGCAGGTTGAATCTGGAAGAGGCTCTGACAACTCCAATAGATTATTGGGGTAATTACTTTTAATGTCCACATTTGTTTACACTTCCCAATAACAGCTTTTAATAACTGGGCTCGTAGCGGACACTTTAAAAGCCCCTTTGACGCTTTTATTTCCTCTGTGTCATTGGAATCTGTTGTAAAACTGTTTACACATACAGTGATGGGCGCCAGAACAACATAGTGCTAACCTGGATATATTGGCTTGTATTAGACCAAAACAACTATACAGTGGGTTGTAAAAACTTGGAATTTATATTTAAGTGCAGTGGAAAAAATAAACAGGAGCGCGGTGGTGCAGTGGTTAACGCTGTCGCCTCACAGCAAGAAGGTTCCCAGTTTGGTTTGGCTTGGCAGGGGTCTTGATCTCCACGTGTCTGTGTGGGCTTTCTCTTGTTCTCACATGTAGCAGAGACTCTAAATTGTCCATAGGTGTGAATGGTTGTTTGTCTCTGTATGTTGGTAACAATGTGTTGCTGCAAAACCAAATTAAAAATAGCTGATTATGTTTTTTATCTTCAAGTGCTTTAATGACTTTTTCCATCCTCTATTCATTTGTTTAATTTAGATACAAGGAAAGAAGAGTTGGAATTGATGATCGACGAGTGGAATTCAGTAAGGGGATTTGTGAAGAGAAGATCCAGGAGGAGGAGCGGCTGATCGAAGGAGGAAGAGGAGGAGAGGAAGAGTATGGGCTGCTCCTATGTGTGGATCTTTCTGCTGTCCCTTTCCCTCTCCCATCAAAGAGTCACAGCACAAACTGAAGGTAAATGATAACATAGTTCATCATCTAATTTCCTCTGTAAATATCCACACAGCAGCATCAAACTTCTTCCTTGAAATGTTCTCTTACTCACTCACTTAATTATTCATTTATTCAGTGAGTCACCTTTTTCTTCACTTTGTTCCGTGTTTTGCAGTCATTTCCTCCGTGTCAAACTCCACCTTATGGCACCATCCGTTGCTTAATTTTGAGTCTGAACCATATGTCTGATTGTCAGAAATGTGCACGGGCGCATGAATTAGACGACTCAGATGCTCGGGCCACAGAAAGGGCACATTCTCCATGAACACAGTCTGTGCGGGTGCTCCATCATTAAATCTCCACACCTGGATTGGTACACAGGGGCAGACGCTCGCCCGGCTCCAGTTACTATCCAGACTGTGTCTAGTCAGGGAATTCAAACATCTGCTAGCCTCATGTACAGTACAGCACTCGGTCTACCGGCCTGTCAAACTCACCCCCCCTAGATACAGAGCCTTAGCCTCAGGTGCTATTGGATGTCACCAAAAGGTCAATGAGCCAATGAGAAGTTAGATCTCCTCCACCTGGAGAGTGGTTGGCAGGAAGTGATTGGTAAAGTTGTTGGGCAGAATTATGGGAGGATAAAAATAGAACAAGGATGCTTTTTAAGCTGCGCCCTCCTTTGCAGCTGTTCAATTTACAGTGATTCAAATGCCAATGGTCAATATTTAATCATAAGGACAGCTTGACACCTTTAAGCTTAATTAATCTACTGTATATATATATATATATTTTTTATTTATCAATAAATGTAATGTCCCCAGCCTTCTATCAAACATCATCGAAACTGTACTGTGAATAATATGAGGAACACAAGGCTACAAGTTGACTCTGAATAATGTGAACTTTCTCTTATCAATCAGATCTAAATAAAAAGGCAACATGTATAAGTATGTGATATAATGTCTGATAAGATTTGATGAGATGACAAAAGTCCCTTTAGTTAACCCCATGTGTCAGCCAGCTAATGGCGACTAATAGACTGTTCTCTCTGTGCCTTATTTTTTTTTTAACGAAATTAGGAACTGCATGAAATTCAGATTAGAAACACAAAACTATGGGACTGATTAGCTTGTTTATATCCACTGGCACTGACTGCCCACATGGGGAGGGCATATGACACTGGAAACAGATCCTGATGGAACAAGCATTTGTCACGTCAACTGTTTGAAACTTTGTCAATATTTGCTCTTTCTATCATTTCATATTTCATTCTCTGAGAGTTTTTGCCTGTCAGCAATTTGCTGCAGTTTCTTCTCCTCCTCCTCTTCCTCTTCCCTTCATCTGTGTGCATTACATCTGAACCTGACGGCCTGTTGAGTTTCTTGGACTCTGTGATGGTCAGATCTTCTCTCTTGATCTCGTCGTAGCTAATTGCAGCAGTGCATCATTATTTCTGAGTGTGTTTCTCTCCTGGCAGAATTTTCTGCAGCATATGCTGAAACCACTGAGCTACGTGTAATGCGTAAATCAATGGAGGTCTTACACAGAGGTGCATACAGCCTTTGCGATATCAGCATAGATAACCTTCAAGAAAACCATCCCTAATCCCTCAGCATGTGTTGCCTCCTTATCTTAGGCATGTGGTTCTCACCTGCCAGCCCAGACAGACAAACTTCTGGATAATTGATCTTGTTTTTTCCCTCAGTCTGCCTCTGTCTGACAGAGACAAACCTCCAGCTGCTTCGTAGCTCAAAGTCTCCGCCATATTTCATGTGCTTTTACAGAAACCTCTGGAGTAGAAAATGTATCCCAGTGAATGGAACAGCCAACATGTGCGTGCTAGGGCGGTCGGCTGGTTTCATGAGACTCGGCTCAAGATGGGAAGGATGAACATTGTTGAATCCTGTGAACCAGTGTGTTTTTTGCATCAGTGTTAAATCCACAGTTGATGGAATGTATGACACTAAAGCTTCCACACGGGCAACGATAAACACTCTGCACTAAAGACACATCCAAAAATTTGAATTCCCAACCATATTTAGTGTCCTTGGTGCGTGGCCGGAGCTGTATGGGTGCGCGAGGGAGAACATAATGTCAGGTCGCCGTGGGCTGGAGACATATGTCACCCCCAGTGAATCCTGGGATTACAGCCAAGGGCAGAGAGGGGCGAGATAATGGAGGGGAGAGAGCTTGGTAATGAAATAGAGGACGTAGCAGAGAAGCGTATAGTTATCACTTACAAAACAATCAGCGGAGCCAATCTCTTATTCACCAGCCTAATCAATGCTGTCGTCACTGTGGTTTATTGCATATGTAATGCCAGAATATTGATTTGGTGGGCGTTTGCAGACACAGCAGATTTCTGTCTGGAGTGCGAGTGTGTTCTTTGTGGGAATGTGTGTAGGCCTTTGCATCAGAAGATTCAAGAGTTTAGGTGTGTGAGTGTGTGTGTGTGTGTGTGCTTCTTAACACCATATTAAAAAGCATGTGGATCCTCCCACATGCAGCATATCTTTATCTTAAATGTGTTTGTTTGCGTGAGCGAGGAGACTGACCCTGATTTTCGGGTGCTTTTACCTTATTATTCTAAGCGTTCCTCATCGCTCTACTAAAGTTTTATTGCTGGAGTGCTCAGAATATTGATAGTCTCTTTGGCTCACTTGTGTCTCATTAAACATTCATGAGGATTTGCGTGGTGCTCTGGCAGCAAGGCAGAGGCAAATCAAGGGGGGGGGGGTCCTCAACATGATGGAACAAGACTGCTATCTGGTGGTCAGCTGAGGAATAAAACAACAGCTGAATTCATACACCTAAAAGATTAATTTTGGATTTAAATTCCGATTATTTGCCTTTTTTCATGTCCTTGCTTCTTCCTCCTTTGTATTCATGCACTAACTGATTCATCCATGCTTCTCCCCTCAGCATGCAGGACGGTGGTGCAGGCAGACATAGTTTTTCTGGTGGACGAGTCGTGGAGTGTGGGTCAGACCAGCTTCTCCAGTGTGAAAGGCTTCATCTCAGCCGTCGTCTCCTCCTTCCGGGACAGTGTGGTGGGAGCCGAGGGGGTCCGCTTTGGCGTCACTGTCTTCGGGGATGTCGCAAGGTAAAACTCAAACACAAAAAGATGAACACACATTGCTCCCAGTTTTGTAATTAATCATCAAACCAGGAGCTCATTATTCAATTAGTAAATTTCTGATCTGATCCAAGATACAAAATCCTCCATCCACTCACCTAACAATGTTGGTATGAGTTGCTCCATCACGTCTACAGTTCTCTCTGTAATCCTTTCCTTGCAGGATGAGGATCGCTCTGACAGACTACAGTTCACTGGAGGAGGTGCTCAGAGCCATCAGAGACCTCCCATACAATGGTGGGTCCAGGAGGACTGGCTCTGCCCTCCAGTTTCTGGTCGACCCTGTTTTCAGCCCTGCCATCAGTCGAGATCATGCCCCAAAGGTACAACTTTCCCCCAGAGGGATGTGATCATGTGATGTGCCCATCGAGGGTAACGGCTGTTACCACAAACTTTTCACGCACTCATTAAAAACTGAAGTTTGAATCTTACTTGTTTAGATGTTTCACAAAGCAACAGGAAAACCACTGATTCAACATTACAACCCTTCCTCCACCTGCAGAGCACCATGCATGTACCCTATGGTTCAGTCCCACTGCGAAAGTAAATAACTACTCAGCAGTCTGCATTTGTACTCCACAGGACATAATGGAAAAACAAACCAAACCAGCTCTTCTCCTGTTTTCACACAGCCGTGAATCTGAATTAATATATGGTTACAAGCTGAGATAAAAAGGTGCAGTGGCCACAGATTTGGCTTTGGTTCGATTTGTCTCTTGCTTTGGGTTCAAATTAGCCATTCAGTCGGCTGTCGATAAGCGGCGACTTTAACCTGATCAGCCACAGATGCTCAACGACCTGCTCTGTCACAGCGTCCTCAGATGTGATGTGAAAACTGCTGCTTGTCTTAATTTAAAGAGTTAAACCAGGTACAATAATCAAGCAATTTAACTAAATATATCATCGAATTAGTGCCTCCCAAATTCCCTTTGTCACCAACAGGTCTCCATTTTCTGTTTGCTCCGTCACTCTGACAGTCTGTAGAGTGGTCTCACAGCTGGTTAGCGTTCCAGTCTTCTCAGCACACTTGAAGTAGGAAGGCAGAGAATTGGGGATTAATCTGATATATTAAATTGTACAGCCAGAGCACATGCAAAAAAAAAAATAAGGCAGCTGCGTTCTCACGTTGATGCTTCGAGCCTCTGCCTTCATTGACTGAGCCGTGAACTTTAAATGAACCGAGTACACTATTCCTTAATGAGCAAATTATCAGTCTCATTCACGAGCCGACTTCCTGGAATTTAGATTTTTGTAACTGATGTATTTAATATTTAGTTTCTGTTTTATGAGCAAGGTTGCTATTTCTATGAAGACTGAAGGTTAAAATCCATGTGCTTTTGATGCAATCGAACTTCTACTTCTTCTCATTTTGTAAATCTGAATAAAGAAACTTGATTTTTGACGAATGACAACCACTGAAAATCACATACATTGAATCCATGGATGTTCAGTATGATCATGTCAGCAACAACATTCTCATTACTTGACTGTTTACCTTGTGTTGAATGACTCCTCTAATTTCCTCTCGTGAGCACAGATTGCAGTTTTGATCACAAACGGACCTTCAGACGACCAAGTTGACGCCACAGCCAGAGCTGCGGCTGACAATGGCATTTCTCTCTTTGCAGTAGGTGAGTGTGGAGACTGTGAGTTCCTTCATCATCCCCACTGCAGCCACCCCTCAGATTTTATCCGAGCTCTGCTGGCTTTTATCGTCAGTGTTTGCAGTTAGAAATTCATGTCCTCCACATTCGAATTCATTGGATTCATTGTGAGTTTATGTTTTTATGTAAAATTTAAACATGAATGCACATATTTGTGTACTCTATAAAATAAAAGTTTTCATACTGTTGCATACTTGCTCACATGAATGCAGATACCGACATGTCTGAGGAGACATACCGGCCAATAAAACAGTCGGGTTCTTGTTGCTGGCCGCTAAAATCTGCTGACCAGTATATTGTTCTGGCTTTAGTTCAATATACATGCATGTATGTAATGTAACAGCCAACATTATAACACCTACTCAATGTGTACGTAGGAATAGGTGAGTGATTAATTCAACTTATATTCCACCATGTGTTTCACCTCCAAGTTTACTTACACTCATCTTACCCTCGTTCTCCTACACACATGCATAAGCACACAAGCACACGACTTGCTCCCCTCTGCTGGGAGCGGTGCAATAATTACTGCTCATTAGCCGATGGTTCGCTAATCGCAGCCATTTTTCATCAGGCGATTCTGTGTCCCCCCCATCTGCACCTCTGACACTGAGGCGTGCTCCTTTCGTTCATCATTCCTGCAGAGAGGCTCCACTTGTGTACTAGTGAGAAGCCAATGAGCCTGTGTAGCAAGAATAAGGCAGATATGGAACTGTGTGACTTTAATGCATGTTCTGTTCATACAAAAAAATATGCAAATTCATCTTGTCCATGTGAGGACAAATAACAACGCAGTCATCTGCTTTGATTTTAATTTGTATCTTTCTCACTTTAAGTACTCAGACCCACACACACACATCAAACAACTTGAGATAGGATTAAGCCTGAGAGTTTATAACATGCATCTTTATCATAGGCGTCTGTAGCTTTTCATATTTTCAAATAAACCACTAAAGATACAACAGCGCCCCCTTGTGATGTCTGTGTGAAGGTACGTGAAGAAAACTTCAAACATTGGAATTAATTGTTTAAAATATTTGATCCTCTCGTCCTGTCACATTATTCATAATAGTACTTGTTTGAAATGTTGTTAATTGATCTATCTTGGTAAATATCATTGGACTGAGCATTTACAGGTAACTGCTGCTGTATCAGCTTGGTCCCACACTCCTTGTGTATCCTGTCTCCAGGTGTCTGGGGAGCGGATGAATCTGAGCTGAGGAGGATTGTATCACAGCCCCATGAGGAGCACCTTTTGCTGGCTGCTGACTACTCTCTGCTGGAGCCGATTCTTCCCAAACTGTCCCGCAGAGTGTGCGTCACAGCTTCTGAACCACCACGTCCTGTGAAAACTTCCCAACCTGGTGAGTTAAATTAAAAGAAGATCGTTGTCTTTTGTAGCTGCCTTCAATTTGCATTTGCCTCATACTGACAGCTGATGCATTTTTATATTGATGAATTGCATCTTATAAACTATTTGACATAAAAATGAACAATTGATTTAATTTATTTCACACTGCACTGAAGCTTTTTCATTAAGATGGATTTATCTTTCAGACCAGCATTCCACATTTTTCTTTTCCCATCTGCATTTCCCTCACACATACACTTTTGTATTTGTATATTTTCTCATCCATCTTCCTATTTCTCCCACCTCCAGTTGAGGAGCGCATTGTCGGCCCCAGAGACCTGCAGGTCAGTGAGTTGGCCCACAGCTCCCTCAGACTGACGTGGAGCCAGGCCACAGGTGACGTCACCGGGTATCGCCTCCTGGTCACCCCTCTCTCCTCCAGGGGGCACCTCCTCCCGCAGCAGCAGAGACAGGTGAGGGGCCGTGAACTAGACTCCACAAGTAGTTAATGATGTTATCATTTTGAGCATGTTTTAAATGACACTGTTGGAGGTCACAGTATAGAACTTAAACTTTTAAGGTTTAGTCTATAACATGAAGTACAGACCTGAAAATTACTTTTTTTTTTAAAAAGCTGAAGCATGACAGGGAATGACACATTGTGCTGAAGGGGTCAGAGCAAAACATAATGACGGATATGGGATTTGAGGGTTTGATGGAGCACCTGACACATCTATGAATCCTTCTATAATATAACGTTTCCCTCCATTTGATAAAGATTGATTTCCTGCTGAAAAACATTCACATCATCCGTCATTTCTTCAGGGAGGTCATGTTCATCCTCAGGTGCGCTTACGTCCTCACGATCCCGACGACAAAAAGCTTCTGTCATCTCTGCCCTGAACTCATCACTGCAGGTCACATCTGTATCCCATACATGTACTGAACTCACTGAGTCATCGCTCAGTGCAGAGTTACTGTGCAACATCAACGCCACAAGATTGCTTTAGTGGGATGAACATCAACAGTGGGGTGTCACTGCAAAAATGAAACATTTATATTGCTCTTTTCCAGTCTTATTGATCATTCAAAGAACATTGCACTCCAAGTCACATTAGCCATTCATCCAGGGACCAAACCACCAAAATACGAGTTAGTGGACAACCCACTGACACCCCTGTGCCACAGTCACACACCGTTTTTGATTATAAGAGGAATAATTACATTCAATGGACGAAAAGCCACATAAAATTGTTCCATACACATTTTCTAATAATGCCAACAAGTCTCAGCAGGTAACAAACCCAAACACTCTCTTTCAGGACAGATGGTTTGAGATGAAAACTCGTGCAGAATTTTAATGTAGACCCTAGAAAACCCCTGCAAAACTGCCAGTAGACCCTGTTCTAAACTTGGCTCCAACTATTTCTGGGGTGCACGAGAAACTTAAACAAGTTAATTCAAAAATATACAATATCCCTGCTGTGTTTGTGATTATGTGTGTTTTCATGATACTGCTGCAGTTGTGCTCTGCAGAGAATCACGCTCCAGACGGACAAGAGGAATGTTTTATTCTCTGCATCAATATGACACTCAATTTAAATATAATGGAGAATAGAGTACTTTATATAAGTGTAAACAAAGACTAAGGATGGTTGGCGGTTTAGTGACTCTAAAATGAGAAGTATGGATATAAATATACATTTTAGACAAAAAACAGTTTTATTCAAGGGTGCTGTTCAGAAGAGTATCCCTGTCATTGCATTGGGTCTGCGTATTTCTTCTACTCTGATTCTATCTGTTTTGATCAGTCACACACACACACACACACACACACACACACACACACACACACACACACACACACA